AAAAAAAGTCCCCCCCCCCCCCCCCATTGCCCAATAGAAACAGCTGTGGCACTGAAGGAGAATTACTGTCTCATTGCACCCTCAACTAGGAAGGAAAAAATCTGCAGCTTATCAAGAGGTGGGAGAATTTTGCTTTTACTGAACAAACTGCTAAAAATAATGAAATTAAAATTTAAGATTCAAATACAATATAAAGGGAAGGAGAAGTAGTTTCACCCACTTTTGGAGTGTGGTCCTTGGCATTCCATGCAAAGTCTGGAATGGTCCTCAGATTGACAGTTTCTGTAATGGGGAACTGCTTAACCTCCAACCTGTATGACTTGTTTCACAAAAGGAACATTTTAAAAACATGTTCCTCATTATCCCAACACACTGAATGTCTAGATGTATGCTACTTGCATTATGTTCCATAGTTCTACATAGTGTAATACAGTTCCAATTCCTTTGTCATGAGAAGTTGCCCAATAGAACTTACTAGGAAGTTATTCCACTCATAGTTCCTTATATTTTTGCTTATTTATTTGTATATCTACCAAGTAACTTAGATATATCAAACCAAGTTTCTCTTGTCCATACCACAAAACAACTGAACTACAGTACTGCTTTTCAATCATCAATCATGGAAGAAGCAGGTGTTTACTTCCACTTTAACTACCAGATTCACTAAGCTCTAAGATAGTTTGCCCAAAATAAAAAGGTACATTGTTTTGGAGATCACTTCCAGCAATACCCCATTTTATTCCTACAGAATAGATACTAGAAGGAAGACAAACTTCATAAATTCCCACTTGTTCTTACATTGAATCTTACAGCTTGAGTCCCCAGCATGACTCCTGGGTGACAAGGCATCTACTGACAAATTCCTTGAAGCCCACCAAGTTCCATAACTCACCAAAATCCACCTTCTTCACACCATAATATTAAACTAAACAGGGCCTTTGGCAAAAATACATAACTACACACTGCTTGACCATTATACTCTATAACATAACAAAACAAAGCTAGAAATTGAAAAATTACTTAACTGCAAAACTGAATCAAAATCAAAAGCCTATATAAATTATCACTGGGATGCCTTAAGTATTACTTTTAATGATTAACCACCACCACCCTCACATTCTCTATTTTAAAGAAACCTAAAAATATATGTAGTGGTCACTATCTTCCAAATGAGGACAATATGAAATATAAAAATATCTAAACCCACTATCCTAATAAATTGGCTTTGGAAAGGGTTTTTGTTTTGTTTTAAGTTCGTTGGGGTTTGTTTTGTTTGTTAGTAGGTTTGGAGTTTCTTGTTCTAAAGGTTTTATCTTTAGGTTTCAATAGTACACATAAAGGAGAACCAGCCACATAGCCAGCATTATTACAGAACAGATTTTTTTTCCCATTGAAATGTTAAAATCTAAATCACCTCTACTAGAAATTTTAAATATTGTACATGTTTTCCATCAGTGGCCACAAATAGTTCCCAGGACACAGTTTTCAAACTACTGAACCAAAAGTTTGTTCTTAAATCAAAGCAACTTTTACTTGTTTTATACTTGTTGATTTCAACTTCAAGTGTTGTTTAAGGAATGAAATCTGCATCTGTAAGCTAATTAGCACAGCAAAAAATATAATTCTAAATAAATCACAAGATTCTAAACATTATAATTTGTGGCTTATTATGGTTACATCAACATCTAGTCCCCCCTGCCCTCCCCCCAAACAAAGTACTGACAAATCTATGAAGGAGTTCAAGTGTGAAATATTAAAAATCATTGTGCAGATTGGTTTCTAGCATTTTTCTGGAAGCTGGAAAGATTCCAATGTGCATACCATGAACGAAAGCTGAGAAACTTCAAAAACAGTATCAACTGCTAGCTACTATGTAGATAGGGCTATTTATTCTATCCTATTTTCAAATCAATTTTTATGACACAAGAAAAACTGACCTAGGATCAATAAAGGTGTAAAGACCTAAAGTAAAATTATTTTTCCTTCCTCACCCTGTAAAAACAATTTTTCTGTTTTTATCTTTTCCACTATTGTTCACATCTACTGTTTTGGATTTATCACACAAGTCACCGCATATAAAATTTTTCTTTAATCTTGGTCTTTAACCAACACAGTTCATACTTTCTGATATACACTTTAGCCTTTTTATTCATCTTTACTTTATACATCCTTCCCTTTTTGCTTACTTTTGCAGACATATAATACCCTTCCCTTCCCTCCCCTCCCCTTTCCTTTCCTCATGCTTTTTAACATTTACCCCTCTTACATTCCAAGTTGCAACACCGTAATCCAGATGGCCTGAAAAACACTGAAAGCTGCTACCCATACTGCCTTTAGTC